TTTTTTTTAATGGTCTGAGCACTCTCATAAATTACTATTGGGGTCCTTCTAAAATATATCTGGATTTATTATACGTTATTATTGTAGTAATAGTAGAACAATTGGAATATCACAAGAAAGTGACAAGGATATGGTTATGGGATGATCCTGCTGACAAATTAATAGATGGCATTGTGAGATATGTATCTGCACTTACAGTTTGTATTATTGTTTAAACAGCAATCTTGTTTATGTATACTTGACTTTTCTTTTAATAACATTTAATTAAATTTTTTTAAAAAAGAGAGAGAGGCAAGACGAAGGGGAAGGGGGGGAGATTGGAGGGAGGAGGAAGTGGGAGGGAGACGGCCGGGGCACCCCGCTTCGGCACTAAAGACCTAAGAGCAGCCTGTCAAACCCACAGGCACTGAGTGGGAGACCAGCACTTTACAGCCTGCCTTGGAAAGGTTACCCCACCCCGCAATAATCGCTGCAATTGCTCCACACCAACTTGTTCCCCGGCAGTCACTTAAAAACCCAGGAATTACGCTTTCCCCAGCAATCGGGAAAAGGAGACTCCCTCCACGCAGTGGTTGCTCAGTTCCAGATTTGAAGGGAAGAAATACCAAACGAGACGCAGACTCCCCATCGTGCCGGCGAATGAGGAGTGGCCCTCTGCTCCTAGGCGCACACAAGATTCTTTCTGGACCTTCCGCTCAGGCCCGGCACTATGGACCGTGCTCGTGGCCTCGGCCAGCCCACACTGCCCCCGGCAGGAGCAGCTCCCGAGCCAGAGACATTTATTTGTAGTCCGCCTTTCTCGCTGAGACTCAAGGCGGACTACAGACTGTAAATCGATGCAGTCGATAGGACGGGACATCCATTCCGCAGGGCCTGTAAGATGGAGCTCTTCCGCCAGGCTTTTGGAGCCGCCACCACTAACACCGCTACCGCCAACAACTGATATCTATGTTGGCGGGACCCTGACCCGCTGGTCCCCTAAATACTGCCCGAGCCAATCACCCGAGACAGCTGAAGAAGACCGAAGAGCTGACCATTAAATGAGGAATGTTGCTAGCACTTTATTACGTCTGAGTTTTAATACTGTCTTTATTAATTTACGTGATTTTATATGATTGTATTGTCAGAATTTTACTCTGTTTGTAAGCCGCCCGGAGCCGGCCCAGGCCTGAGAGGGCGGGATAAAAATCTAATAAATAAATAAATAAAATAAGCAAAACAACAGGATTAGGACTGTGGAAAGTGAAACGCCTGGAATAAGCTGAAAGTGTAAGGATTAACATGTCTTATTAAGTGATGCATGGGGTCGCGAAGAGTCGGACTCGACTGTGCGACTGAACAACAAATTAAGTGATGCAGAAATTACAGAACAGGACAGTACTACTATCTGTTCCTATATGATTTAAGAACATAAGAAGAGCCCAGCTAGATCAGCGCAATAGTCCATCTAGTCCAGCATCCTGTCTCACACAGTGGCCAACCAGTTCCTCTATAGGGCCAACAACAGGGCAGAGAGGCCGAGGCCTTCCCCTGTTAAGAAGAGCCCTTTTGGGTCAGTGGTCCCTCTAGTCCAGCATCCTGTCTCACACAGTGGCCAACCAGTTCCTCTGGCCTCTATGCCCTGTTGGCCATTGTGTGAGACCAGATGCTGGACTAGATGGACCACTTTTTCTGATCCAGCAGGGCTCTTCTGATGTTCTTATGAAGGCCTTGGCCTCTATGCCCTGTTGTTGCCCCTCCAGAGGAACTGGTTGGCCGCTGTGTGAGACAGGATGCTGGACTATATGGACCACTTTCTCTGATCCAGCAGGGCTCTTCTGATGTTCTTATGAAGGCCTTGGCCTCTATGCCCTGTTGTTGCCCCTCCAGAGGAACTGGTTGGCCGCTGTGTGAGACAGGATGCTGGACTATATGGACCACTTTCTCTGATCCAGCAGGGCTCTTCTGATGTTCTTATGAAGGCCTTGGCCTCTATGCCCTGTTGTTGGCCCTCCAGAGGAAATGGTTGGCCGCTGTGTGAGACAGGATGCTGGACTAGGTGGACCACTGGCCTGATCCAGCACGGCTCTTCTGATGTTCTTATGAAGGCCTTGGCCTCCATGCCCTGTTGGTGGCCCTCCAGAGGAACTGGTTGGCCGCTGTGTGAGACAGGATGTTGGAGTATGAGGACCACTGGCCTGATCCAGCATGGCTCTTCTGGTGTTCTTATGAAGGCCTTGGCCTCTATGCCCTGTTGTTGGCCCTCCAGAGGAAATGGTTGGCCGCTGTGTGAGACAGGATGCTGGACTAGGTGGACCACTGGCCTGATCCAGCACGGCTCTTCTGATGTTTTTATGAAGGCCTTGGCCTCTGTGCCCTGTTGGCCACTGTGTGAGACCAGATGCTG